GAGGAGGATACAGCGGCGGATGCCGAAGGTGCCGATTGGAACTCCGATCCCATCGATTATCGATATCATTCCTCCTTCCCGCTTTCCTTCCTCGTCAACTGGCCAAAATGCACGCCTCCTTGTGCCTCAGCAATATGGAACAACTGCCTGATACTCTACAGGTACGCCGTCCCTCCCATCGAGCTTTTTCCTGGGTCTGACCCTTCGAATTCATCCTCGAAGGCACTGGCGATGTCCGCCGCACGCGGTTCCTTGAACGACTTGGAGGCGCTTTACCGCCTAATTCCCGACTCGCCGCAAGCTTATCTTCCCCTCTTCATCCCCGTCTTCTATGTGAATCTCAGTCCTGGCCAGCTCCCGGATCCTCACGACGCCAACTCGCACGACCGCATTTGGAGGGCTGCGGTGGCGCTCGAGGGCCTCTCTGCACTCCACAAGCGCTTGGTATTGACGGCCTATCATGACGTTTGGTCTGCCGTGTGGGATTTTATTCAGTTCCTTGACGAATACGACCAGCACCACCGCGACGCATCTCGCGGCCCGATATACGTCCTCTTTCTCACAACGATGTTCTCACTCAGCGATGACGTCGAAACCTCCGATATGATCAACACTACCCCTCGAGTTCGCGTCTTCTTCATCAAAGGTTGGGCGGCCGCAGTTAAGGATGGGCAAATGACAGATCATCTATTCCGTGATATCGCCAGTTTTCTCCTCCACCGTCTCGAGCTCAGCGGTCCGAATAGCATTAAGGAAGTTATTGAGGGCGCTGGCGGTTCCCTGGATGATCTCGCACCACTCATCATCAATTACCTTCCACACTTCGTCCCGCACAGGAACCATACAATGAGCAACGGAGATAGTGTTTATGTCCTCGCCGCCTTCATACTTATCGCGCGCTTCGACGATGGCAAGGACGCGACGCTCAATCAAGCATTTGCAGAGCACGGGATGGCCGGCTGTCTGGCGACTGTCCTCTGTGCGCTCTGCGGCAGTCCCTCCGGTCTGAATCCGGAGAACCTGATCGACTTGTGTGTCAGCGTTCTCGTAACGAACCTGAACACGTTTCCCGGGTTCTCGTGGGTCAAGGAGGCGTTCGATGCTGGCCTTCTTCGTGGGATCGTACTCGTCGCCAGCCGAGATATTCCGACACTCCAAAGGCGTCTCGCCCATCTCATTCGAGACATCTCGGCTCCATCTCTCACCTACCACTCTGTCCTATCCAGCCTGTCCCGTGCGCTCGACGAAGCGAATCTCCATATCAGCCCTGCCTTCAAAACTTCGGCGACCTTCAATGTCTGGACTGACTTCGTGAATCTCGCCTCACAGCGGCTTGAGTTGCTCAGGAAGTACGACGGCGGCTTACTCACCCTCCGCAGAGCCTGTGACAATCTCGAGGCGCGTGATCGTCCCGCGCGATTGCGTTTTAATTGACCCGACTTAGTGCAGACCTCCTCGAGGAGGTCCGCACGGAGGCGCTACGCCGCTGCACCGCCCGCAAAAGCGCGTTCTACTGCTCCCGGCCGTGCCAGGGCGCCGATTGGAAAGCCGGCCACCGCCAGCTCTGCCCTTCAGCGAGCGCGCAGCTCAGTCCATGGGTTCCGATCTTCCCCGAGGACGGCCCCTTCATGCGCGCGCTACTGCACCACGACTACGAGGCCGCGCGCGCGGACATCCTCGCGCGGTTGATCCGCTTCGCAGACGTGCAGCCGGGGACGCCGATGTTCGTCAAGTTCGACTACCTCGTGGGGCGGATGGCGTTCGTCGTGGGGCCCGTCGACGTGAGCACCGGCTTTGGCGTGCGCGTGGCGTGGAGCAATGGGCGGGTGGACCTGCATGTTATGCCGGAGGGCGGGGCCCGCCACTGTGTGACAGTGTTTCCGATGCGCTCGAGTAATGCCGGAGTGCAAGGGGGGTGCATGCGCTCGGTGCGCGCGCGGCGGTCGTCACACCTTTGATGATCGACGAGCTGTTGGCCTTGGAGGTGGTGAGGATACATTGAGGCGAGTCGAGGGAGCTTGCTAAAGGCTATAATTCTTGTTCAATTCCGAAATCCAACGAGTCCAGCGTGTTTATGTTCGGTGAGGGATTAACAAGGTAATCGAAGATGAGCGGCGTTTTCACCTCTGAGACCAAGTACTCCGGGAGTATGTTTGGCCGAGAGATCGTCGGGTGGGTAAGAATTCAGACTAAGCCCGGAGCCGACAGAAGAAACTAGACGCGCTGATTCGACGCTATCGAGTTGGATGAATGTTGAAAATAACTGGGCAACAGGGGAATCGGAAACACTGTTGCGTTTGTTGGCGAGGGCTGAATCGGCGGGGATATTCGGAGTGTCGCGGTAGCGTATCATTGTCGACGCAGGAAGCCTTCGAGCTCTGATTACTGGCAAAGAGGGTCTAGGCCCAAGGTCCGCCGCTTGCCTTCTCCCAAGCTCAACCGCAAGCTCGTCGATCGCGAATCGCGCTGCGATAAACGCCACAGGGGACCGGGGAAGCGCCATCTGTGGAAATCCTGGTTCTGTTCAAGTTCTGTTCCTCGTTCCTTTCTCGTGCTCTCGGGCCCCTAATTCACACGTCACGTGTGACCCAAGTTCCGGTGTCCTCACCGAGTGACGTCACCGCTGATTCACCTCCCAGTCGACGACGTGTTTGTCCACCCTGCTCATTGGATCTGCGCCATGGCACCGTTCCACCCGCTGTTGATTCAGGAGCTTATAGACCACTGCATTCAATTCATCCGCGATTCCCCGTCGGACTTGAAGGCTTGTTCTCTGGTCTCTAAATCTTGGGCATGCGCGGCGCAGCGGTTACTTTTCTGGACGGTTTCACTCCGATCCCCTACCATGACCCGCCGCGGGTCTGTTGTACGACTTGACGAGATTTTAGGCGCCTCCCCTCACCTCATTCAATGCATTCATCGACTGGACCTCGATCGAGACGGCAGGCTCTTGCAGCGAGTGTTCTCAAGAGACTCAGAGGCATTCTCGAGCATCTGCAATTTGCCGTTGCCGTTGGAGCATGTGTGCATTAGTGACACGCATCTCTCATCGACACCCGATTTGCAACGCTTGTTCAGCCTGCCCACTCTGCGCCGAGTGGAATTGAGTGGCACTTTCAACGACCCAGCTGCGTTTCTGGAGATCTGGGATCACTGCTCACCTAATCTCAAACATCTCCACCTTCGATGCTGGAATGGATCATCCGATCCCGTGCATCCCATCCGGCGTGGCCCGCCCATCTTCCTGGAGTCGCTGCGGCTCGATCGGGAGGGTGTTGACAACTGGCTGACACACGATCTCTGTCAGTTCGACTTCTCGTGCCTCCTGGTGTTGGCCCTAAATGTCCCGGCCTCTTTGGTCGCATGGAAACCCATGATCCCCGGAAGCATTAAAGCGCTGAGCTTTACCGTCGCGGTGCGCATTTCTGCATTTCCAGATGCCCGAGGTTGAACCTGTTATAAAGGCCATAGGCCACACGATCGACCTCGCTCCATTCGCAAACCTCACGCTCCTGCGAGTCCATATGTATTGGTTCTCACATCAGGTGGCACTCACTATTCTTGACACGCTCGCGCCGTCCTCCCACCTCCGGAAGATTGCCCTTTCCTTTGCGAATGTGCCCAACGAGGCGGTTTGTGAAGAAATTGATTCCAGAATCGCAGATCTTCGCATACAACACTTACCGATAGTTGAGCTGGAGATGCCTATTGCGCAGTTCACTCAGTCCGCGCCGTATTTTTCTCGATCGATTTCGAGGAATATGGTGCGCGCCCCATCTTGTCCATCCTTCCTTGTACTCAACGCCCGCGATAGCTTCGACGCATCGATCCCACCCGCGACTGGTTTGATGTACGTCTGTGATACGTGGGGCTGACCTGCAAATATCTCATAGTGTGCCACAGGACTGCATCAGCCAGCCGGATTTCTAATCCTAGGACGTTCCTTCAAGTATCCCGTACGAATGTCAATATGGATCTACTCTTTTACGATTCGTCCGTCATGAGAAAGCCAAGTCGGGGCATGCGTGCTGAAATCATATCATATCCTGTCTTGCTTTCCTTGCTGCTCTTCCCCGGGGCTGAAACGGGTCAAGCTCCTCCTCATTTCGTGTCGGCAATCCCAGCCTTGCAGGGATGGTCGATACATAACCGGTGTGGCGCTCGTTACCTGTACCCCCGGTGAAACACTCGAAATTATAAGATTTACGAAAGCTTCCGCGACACCAGATATATCCACAAGTCTGTGCACGCGATACGCAAAGTTTTTGCGCAGCTTGGACATGACGTGGTGCACGTCGAGCCCGCTATATGCGGCAATGATACCCCAAATATAGGATTTCAACATCTTGGTGGAGAACTCGACATCTCGACGGAAAGTTGTCCCTGCATTAACTACTTTAAAGCCAGCGCAAAGAAAACGACAACGACTCACTGCGCAAAAGGGAGCAAGGAACCGGGAGTGGCGAGGTCCCACTCCTTTCTTAATTTTTATACCGCAACAAAGATATCGTGTAATAAGACGGCTCAGCCGAACCGGACACACCAACTCTGGTAGGTACTACAAATCACTTTACCAAATTCAGAGGCCAGCTGCACGGCACGTGTACTGGTATACTCTGGGGATTTATAGCTGGAAGGAGAGAACTCCGACCAGATCCCACGCGTTTTAACTGGAAGCTTCTTTGCACATTCGACTTACCTGCCTTCCCGCACTCGACTTACCTGCGCATATACGTCCGCTTGTTTCCTCTCGCCTCGTCTACCTCGTTCCTTCTTTTCTATTTCTGCTGCTTACATATGGGGCCGTTGTCTCTGATTATATATGGGTTTATTGCTGTCTCTCTTGGCGTCTGATATGCGGTTCGTTTGTTCGTTCCGCGCGAGAGAGGCGGGAGTCTGCGTTGGCAGTTGGACTGACGCACGATATTTGAGCTCAAGAGGATGACGCGCGATGTGCTGCGAGGCGTGTTCAGCCTCGAGTTCAAGAGTAAGCTGAGGACTCGGGCGTGGTGCACGGCATACGCTCAATCCTTCTGCTTGTCTCCTCGTGAAGGTTGAAAGGGAGAGGTCCGGGTTCGATTCCCGGCGGCCGAATCTGAGTTTCATCAGGGCTTTTTTTTGGTGGAGGTTGAAGGAAAGTGGTGGGGTATTCAGCGCTCAGCGGTGAGAGGGAAGGAGGGATGAGGGTGTGGTGTATGGTGCACGCTCCCTCTCTTTGCTAAAGAATATTCAGAATGCATGGGAGAGGACCAGGTTCGATTCCTGGCGCCCGAATTTGGCATCCGGCTTCAACTCTTTTTTTGCATTGGCGTCGAAATAATGGAGGGCTTATATAGGACACAGAGGGAGTGGTAAGTATTCGGGCGTGTTGTATGGTGCACGCTCCTCCTCCTTACGTATGCAGAAACGGAAATTTCAGGGAGAAGCCCGGGTTCGATTCCTGCCCACTTCTTGCTGTAATGGAGCAGTCTAGGTCCGACTCCCGGCACCCGAACTTGACGGCCGTTCAGATTTTTTCTTTTGGTGCGTAAAGGAAATCGGTGAAATATTCAGCAGGGCAAGAGAGTCAGTACTCGGGTGTCGTGCATGGCACACGCTCCCTCCTCTTTAGGGATGCCGATACTATAATCAAAGGAAGAGGCCGGGTTCGACTCCCGGCGCTCGAATTCTACCAGCGCCCTCCAACTTCTTTTTGACGTGAACTCCTCTCTTTTTGCCAGGGAGGATTTAGGTGGGTTTATTCAACTTTCAAAGAGGATAAATATTCGGGTGTGGTATACGGCGCACCCTCCCTCCTCCTGGATTCGCAGGTCCAAATGTAAGGGAAAAGCCCAGGTTCGACTCCTGGTGCCCGAACTTGCTGTGTCATCGAGCTTTTTGTATTTTCTCGGGCATGCAAAAAATTCGGTAGGTTCGTAGAGGGAGGAGAGGGAGTTAGGAATCGGGTGTAGTGTATAGTGCACGCTCCCTCTCCTTGATGAATGTAAAAGGGTTGTATCAGGGGAGAAGCCCGGGTTCGACTTCTGGCACCGAATGAGGGGTTATTCTGCCAATTTTTGATTCAACTCATTGTCGTAGATTGCTAGGATATTCGAGGCCACGAGGAAGGAAACAGCCACAAACCACCCATGCATTACAGATCGGAGGGCACACCGGACAGTCAAGGTGTGGGATAAGAATCAGCGCTGCCGAAGTGTCCTGCGTTCCAAATGACGCGCCATGTTTCAGCCATGTTCATACCATTTCGACTCAATTGCAACAGTCCCGTCCCAATCCTTTTTGTTCAGGCAGGATTCACTTCGCGAGCAAGTGAAGAATGTTGGTGTTTGACATCGTGGCATCATATGCCGCCCTCTTCGCCCCCGTTTCGCATTATCAGCATTTCGCACGTGGAGAGGAGGGTCACGGCCATCACCATCCGTCTCTACTCGTGAATGGCAGCCTCCATTGTTCAGTCGTCTCAATTTGGTACACACAAGGAGCCCATGGCCCTCCAATTCTGCGGCGATCTCTTCTTGTATGGTACCACATCACGCTCCCCGCGCCCTCTGAATCGGCACCGGCGCTCCCGCAGGTCTCCCCCAAATCCACCAGCGCCATCTCGTACCCGGCGGTACTTTCGTTCACATCTGGGAATTGGTATGGCCTCGCGCTCGTCACGGACGCTGACATTGAAACGGGCTGCATTATGGTCAACGTGACCCATTATTTCAGGTCCACAACGAGTTCTGCTGCCGTCGAGAATTATGATACCGCCGCGGAGCTTGGATGCATTGACCAATATTGCCAGACCGCTTTTGATGGCGTAAAAGTTTTCCCGCATTCCAGGAACCCTCGCTTGGCGCAAAAAGGTTAGACATCATCTTTTCAATTAATTCCACTATTCTCCGAAACAGGATGGCCCAACAGTTTCAGGTACACCTCCGCATACACTCTCGGACTCCGGGCTATAAGGGGAATCAATCATTCAATTCAGGGATCTTGTCTGACTCATCGTTCTATGCAATTATTCGGGACCCGCGTTGATTTCATCTGGATTCGAGTGACGACTCGACACACCTTCTCAGGCTCCAATACTGCCCGTGTCAACGGCTTCGGCAGCCGGTGATGATTACCCGGAGATCTCTACAATCAAAGTCCCAAAGGGCGCGGTACATATGTAACATATCGGTGTCGGCACGGCGTGGGAAGAGCCTCTAACGGCCGTGGTTTCAGGTCCAGTGTTCCGCTTTGAATATATTGCCTGATGAATACCACATCCCGCCTGCGTATAAAAGGCCACGATTCCAGGCCGATATTTTACAAGTTCGCACAATGTTCAACACGCTCATCTCAAGCGCTTTCCTCTTTGTCATCCTAGCCCACGGAGTTGCACCCAGTCCGCTGGGACCGGAGCCTGTCAAGCTGCAACAGTGTGAGTATCCTGCAGTATTGTATTCCTACGTGCTGACTTGCGAGCGTAGGCGGACCTGGACCCTACGTACGTGTTTCCCATTCCATTACCGACCTGGATTTCAACTGTCACTTGTACACAGGATCGTCAATGTAGGAATCGCCGTATTTTTTCCTTGGACACGGACACTGACTTGTCTCGAAGGCCCACCCGCCGACGTTTGCTGTGGCTCCAGCTTCGGCAACTTGTGAGTACTAGTCTTGTCGGTTAAGTGCCCAGAGGACTTTGAATTGACGACGGATATCATGAAGCTGCAAGCCGATAGCCTCGGACTTGTTGTGTCCCGCTCCGGCGGCCCTATGAATGAATACATGCAACCAGGAAATCGAAGAACTCTCATGTTTCGCGGAGACAGTTGACATGCACGTAGACATATGGTTGTCAAACACCAACATTCTTCACTTGCTCGCGAAATCTTGAATCCTCTCTGAATAAAAATGGATTGGGACGGGACTGTAGCAATTGAGTCGAAATGGTATGACATGGCTGAAACATGGCGCGTCATTTGGAACGCAGGACACTCCCGCAGCGCTGATTCTTATCCCACACCTGATTGTCCGGAGTGCCCTCCGATCTGTAATCCATGGGTGGTTTGGGGCAGTTTCCGTGGCCATTTAGGATACTGTTGTGCGCGTGCGCAGTGATTCACTGCGTTCCGGCCCCCCGTAGACAGACACTCTTTTTTTACATTCGTCGATGTGGGTAGAAATACCCCATCGAGGTAAGTGTGTCTACCCATTCTTACGTCATGTAGAAGCCCCTCGGCTACTTTCGGCTAGGGCTTCAACCCGCCCCTCACATAAACGGGACGGCCGTCTTTTTTGACGGGACGGGTTGACCCGTCCCGCCCGTGAAGCCCATTTCGACGGGTTCAATGAGGCTTCTGGCGGCATCATTCTGGTGAGTAAATACAATACTGTGTGAGGGTATTCAAAACTCAACTCAAGGCATTGATCGCATCAATCTTATCAATCACCTTGCTTTCAACTCGATTTTCGCCACAAGCAGTGAGTACATGTGGAAATGTGATGGATGATCCAGATTTTACCATAGAGTTATCCAAATCCGACCAGATTCCCGCGGTCTTGCCCAAATTTGCGTTGTTCTCGGGTAGACCCGTCCCGTCTAGGTCTTGGGGTCAAGCTCAGGACGGGCGGGTCCAAACCCGTCCGTCCCGCCCGTCGACTCGTCAAGAACAGGGACGGTTCGAAGCCTTAGAAAGATCAATGATGAGAAGGGAGGAAATGCCGCTGTCTGGCTTAGGCGTCTATTGGCGGGTGCCTCGAAACACCAACTCGACGCTCTGGGCGTTAGGCTGAGGATTACTGGGGCATCGTCTGTACGCCGACTCGGATTGTGCATCTGTTTGACTCTGAAATAAACCCAAACGTGGCTTGCTCCAGCCACCTAAACACCAGCACTTGGATTGCCAACGTAGCCGTTCATTGAATCGACCGCGTTGGTCTATGTGCATACTCGAAAGACTGCCCAACTCCAGCTCATCGGCTCTTTTTCATTATTCTCGCACGCCGATATTGCAGCTCCACTGTACTACTTACTGTGCTCGCCCTCTCAGCCTCGTGTTTTGAGCCTGAGTGCCCTCCCTGTATTCGTCCCAGGTCTCCTAGCAACGGTCGCGCGCGTTCGCAAGTTGTACCCTGTCCTTCTGACCTCCTTGGATCTCGGGATTCGGTGCGCAGGACGTGGGCTACTTTAATATTTCACAGCATTTATTCGTTTGCGACAACTCTCGACGGACATTAATTACGCTGCCAATACTCGGGCAATATTCAGAGCATTCCTTCTCTGGATCACACTCTGCAGCTCCGAGTGGCCGAAATAAAATCCTTGCAATCAACTCAACTCGGGCTCGTCACTCGGACCTGTCCGTGCTTCTCGTTTAGGGTTAGGTCCACGGCTACTGTCGACTGGATCCCAATTTTGGCCTTGTCGTCCCTCGCACTTGTGTCTCTCTAATTCGCAACTAGAACTTGATTCAATCAACTCAAAGGCCGCCTTCCCTTCCCCATTCCGTAGCAAAATACCGCAGCACAAAATGTTTACACAAACTCGGCGGGTTAGTTCATACTCATCGTCGTTCGCACGGGGAAATCCCTCTCGCATAGTTTGTTGTCAAGCGTTCAGAAAAGTTCCGTTCCAAGCCGATCCCCGTGGTCACCTGTCGTAGTGCTCGTGTTTTAAATTTTCTTTCACACATACCTACGCCGTCTACCCAATCAACCAACCCTCTGAATAAGTCAGCCACTTTCCGTAATCCTGCCTATCTTGGCAAATGCCACAGAGTCACCATTCTGTCTCGACAACCTATGAGGTCAAGTCTGCATTTTTACACCACCGCAGTGAGGCCGAAAGTACTGGTCATACGAAGAGACCTTCCCTGGAAGCGGCGTGGCCCACTGTATATAGAAATCTAGAGGAAAAACAAAGGTCGGTCCAAGACAGCCATAACGTCCGCAGATCGCTCTCTCTCCATCTCAGACCTCCTCGTGGCCTTCAACCGCCTCTAGAAAATTAACCCCCGCATGCCGAAACACCTCGCAAAACATGCCCCACGTCCCTTGGTCAACAATCGCAAAGACGACCCTGCGAAACACATCACGGAACCGCGCGCGCTCGCCGCACAGCAGCTCCGCCCACGTCTGCGCCACAAACTCGACGTTATTCCGAAAAGCGCCCGTGCCGAAGCTCCCGAGGACGAGCTCCTCCGCGCCCGCGCGCACCATCGCACACAAGATGCGCGCCATGCGCGTGCGCATTGTCGCGGCGACATCCGCGGCGACGGCCGCGGGGAGCGGCGCCT